GACAAATATCCCCATCGACAGTTAATAGGTACCTTTCCGAACGCGTATGAGATTTTACACGCACTTGGCTGCCATCATCACCAGCACAGTCACTTACTTGTTGACATGGGACATTGTGCTTAGTTTATCCTTGCGTTACTATTGTCCTGAATAGGCACTGTTGTTCCAACATAATGAGTTCCCCACCCTTGCTGTATACATGCCGGAGAGTAATAGATCTCAACCTTCCTTTGTTTGTCCTTTTATGTATTGTTACGGTACCGTCTATTCTGTTTTACCAAAATGGTATGAATTCCGTGCTTCCTAACTCACTGTCTTGCCCTGGATCGTTGTAGCGCGATACTATCGCAATCCCAGCCTTCGTCGTCGGAGTGCCACAGAGCAGCGGAGACAATCGCCAGATACCTAGGTCTTCCTTCGAATCTAGGAATATGATATAATAAAAGGGGTCAGTTAAAGAAGAGAGCTCAGAAAAATTTCCGGTGATTCTCGGCCACCATTGATTACTCATCTAGTCAATAGCCAGCGAGAAAAAAAGAGGAGAGCCCGAAACAATACTCAGCATAGCACCGTTGAGTAAGCCCAACTTTACTGGTATGCTTTTCTTTTATTTCACATTAATCTGCCAGACTTGCTTGCGACACTTCTACTTCGTGCTGGGCAAACATTCCCGTGCCCTCGGTCAATACCGCTGTAGGCGTCCTTGCCATCGCTAGTGGGGTGACGACGTCTGGAATGATATGGTTCGACTTATTGTCCTTGGCGTTGAATGTGTTGCCTTCTGTGGCTGTTGGCGGAGGTCCAGCGAACACAGGTAACGGAGGGCGACGATGTGCCCCGGTTGAAGCGGAAGTGATTCTCAGTGTACGCCAGTAACAAACGATACGAGATGATGCGGCGCCGGAGTTGCCTTTTTTGGAACTTGTTCCAAGGTCATTCGTCTGACCGGCTGGCAACACTTGCCCTGCCGAAGATTTTCCCATCTGCCAAATGACCCCCAAATCGCCGCTTTTTGGCGGGTGGGAAAATTTGAAACGGGCAAGTGTTGCCAGTCGGTCAGACGAATGACCTTGGAACAAGTTCCAAAAAAGGCAACTCCGGCGCCGAGTCATCCCGTCTGACCGACTGGTTTGGAGTCTGCCCATCGACATGAACGTGATGCTCATCGCTTTCACTGAGTGTGGGTAAGTGTTTCCAGTTTTGGAATAGGGGCTTTCCTTTTACGGGGCTGCGCCAAATCGATCAACCTAAAAAAAATATCTCCGCCAATTCTTACTCAATCAAAATTCCGTCTTGTGGAACTCTTTGTACAATAGAAACAAGCATTTCTACAAGACAAAATTAAAAAATGTCTGGTATTGAAGGCTACAGTAGGATAGGGGCTAATTTGCACAAAGGTAGCGGTGGCTAGGTGAACTGCACCATACATTGAGTGAGAGGGTGACGAGGTACAGTACTCATCTGACATGAGCAACGGGTGAGACCAGATGTTGCCGGTGGGGGATTGGGCGGGAACAAGAAGTCCAACTTGAAGCGCCGCTTTCTCATGGCGGTGCCTGCAACAACCGCGTTGCGACGCGTTTTCTTATTTTGCCCGCCTACCACTGCACATACCGCCTGAAGACGCACCTCTTCGCCACTCAAGTACTCAAGGCTGTCGGGTCAAACTTTCACGCTATGCACAGCTGTCTTCGCACTCCCGAAATAGTCACCACCATATGCTCGCTGGTGGCCTATGTCGAAGATCCCCTTTGGAACCCCAACAGCACACGGCTGAAGAACCGATCCCTCTATGCCTTAGCTCGTACATGCAAAGCCTTCGAGGAGCCAGCTCTGGATGAGCTCTATTGCGAAGTCCGCTGCATTGGTCAGCTATTCATGTGCCTACCGCGGTCCCTTTGGATGACGCATGTATTGGGGAAAGTGAGTCCGCTCTCGAGTGTCGGATCGTCGTGGTGGAGAATTTTACTAACTTACTTAGAAATGTGAAGGCGCCTCTAAGGTCTTCCAGTTCCAGCGCAAAATGACCCGGAATGATTGGGAGATATTGGCGAAGTACCTACCCCGGGTTCGGCGACTCGTCATCGGTATCAACGACACTGTTCGTATTGATCCTATAGCCTTCGCAGCCATCCAAAGTCACTGTGGAGACGCTCTCTTCCCAAGGCTTCATGACCTCTCTATTTCCTTCAAGTGCGAATTGCATGACGACCTCTACCCCTTGCTGCTTTCTGGACCGTGCTTTAGGGCGACAGCACTTCACACGCTCCTAATCCAAGACATGTCTCCCCAGTCCTTTTCTCTGGTCATATCCCTTATCCATCATTCACGCGAAACACTTCAATCCCTCCTCATTGACTCTTATTCCACAAAAGCGCACGGCTGGGAGGAGTTATCTGACCGACTCAGAGTTTCGGCACAGCAGATGCTACGGCTCACATCACTCGATCTCCGTATTCCTGATACTTCTGCACAACGCGCTTTCCTATCGACCTTTGGTGTCCCACCTTCTCTGGAACATCTCACCCTTGAGACTTGCCATTACCGCTCAGGTCGGCCAGTCCCTGCTACTCCAGCGCCTACTATACCCCTTAGAAAAGTGACCTCTCTTGAATTACGCGGTGACTCCTCCACGATAGAAAATGCTGTACGCCACTGGCTACCTGACATGGACTCTCTAACATCTCTCCGGGTTCAATTAGACGGCGGCAAAAGGGGGCCACCTTTGATCGCGCTTGCCGAAAAGTTCCACAAGACAACGAAGAGCATTCATCTGACGTACCATGAGTACACGAACATGTACATCAGCATGCTGCATCCCCTGTTTCAGTTCCGCAGCCTAACCGAGCTCCATGTTTTCATGGGCGAGGTGAACCCATTCACCAATGACGAGCTCGTCTGCCTTGTAAAAGGTCTCCCCCTTCTGGAACGGTTCTCTCTTGAGACCGTGTTCTTGCCGGAGGCCACGCTGCGCGGCCTCGGCCAACTGTTGCAAGCATGTCCTCAACTCAAGCACCTCAAAACGGGGATAGATATCACGGAGGCTTCAAACGCCGACTATGGCCTCTCAACTTTGGGGTTATGCAGCCTGGCGCTCACATCGTGGCAAGTCTCCGGATCTATGATTGATAGTGTTGAATTTGCGGCTCGCCACATTTCACGCATGGTACCTCATCTACACAAGCTGACGTGGTCAGATGAACCGTGCAATGTAGCAAAGGAAGAGGAGCTCGAGTGGGAAAGGGTCAATGCTTTGCTGGCGTTTCACCGCAAAGCTTCGCAGGAGTACCAGATCGCCGTCAAAGGCATTGTGGTGTAGACTTCTATGACTTAGTAGTGCTATTCGTACCAATAATTTTGGAATGCCATATCTGCGAGCTATCTGAACGGCGGTTTCAGTACTTCAGCAAAAGGTTGTGGACGTGTTAGTCCATCGTCTGAGAGTCGAAGAGTTAATTTGCGTGCACATTTGTACAAATTCCATGCACACTTCCGACAGGTGCGCGCTTTCTGCAGCTCAGGGCCTAAAAGCCCTTCATGACCTTCCTCTCGTACTGGGGTAGGGCTCGAGCTCTTTCAATCCGCAGTACGCGCACGCCTCGGGGTCTCCCAGAACGAAGATCGTCTCCACGCACGCTGGCATGCTGGCGAGATGTGTTCCATGATCCCATTTTCGAGAGCGCTTGAACAAGGTTAGCACTCCAATGAAACGATAGACAATTTGTCACTCACATGAAGAAGGTGATCTACGATGGGAAGGTATACAGAGTTTGTTCTCCATCACCTGTAGTACCACATCCTTCTTTGTCCATCAAGGAAACTTCTCCATAGATAGAACTTAAGTTTCGGCGGTTTATGGGAGACGGTACTGAACATTCTGTACAAGAAATCTGTTGCTCTTCGCTGACACTTCAACAAGCACGACTCGGGTCCGTCGTTCGTGTTCGTGGTATGCGGACGGGAGTTTGTTCAGAACGCGAAGAGCGATGATGCCTCCCAAAGAGAAACCGATCACGACGTCGTATGTCGCTTCCTCGCATAGCTTTATGATAGCTATCCCACGTGTACCTTTCCCCACGAGCAGATATTCCGTGGCCAGGTGGATCAGCATGTGGCGCCGACCTATCAGATAAGACCAAGCTTTTTACTCGATACACATGCGTCATCTTGGCGGCACTAGACTCCATTGATGTAAAGGACACTGTAAAATTAATCGTATTGAAGTGCATATACTGGTAAGAAGTATAAACGGCTGTTGTTACAAAGAGCTCCAATCCGTGAGGTACCCAATCCAGCTGCTCCAAGATAATCTCTGGTTCCTTGATTTATGCTTGGATTGGCTTGATTCCTTCTCAGGGGCGATACACGCCTCGACGACCTCTCCGGGGAATTCGTACGGGATCCAGTGTGAGGCGCCCTTAATGATCCTTCTTTCGTACTGTGGGTAGGGATCGAGTTCCTTTATACAGCATATGCCGCCCGTCTCGGTGTCTCCAAACAGGAATATAAGCTCAATGCACGACGGTACGTTAGCGAGATACTCGTGATGAGCCCATACTCGCGGAGGCTGTGGTGAAATCAGCCGCGCATTTCGAACATATCTGACCATCGACGACACTGACCTGAAGAAGATGATCAACGACGAGTGGGTCGCACAGCTCGCTCGCAAGAACTTGCAGAACGGCGTCCTTCTGTGTCCAGCGCGGAAAATGCTCCAAAAAGAATTCCGGTTTTGGCGGGTTCCGAGTGAGGTCGCTGAACAGTGCGTAGTATGCGGATGAAAGCCCGTCTGCGTTACGGATGGGTGGGTCCAAGAGTACGACGCGCGTGAGTTGACTACGCTCGTGGTATACAGGCGGGAGCTTGTGGATGGCGCGAAGTGCGAGCACGCCTCCCATAGAAAATCCGACGACGAGGTTGTAAGTGGCCTCGGTGAAAAGCGCGACGACGGCGTTATCCATGACGTCCCATGTGTATGTTTCGACGCGAGCGCCTATGCCATGCCCAGGTAGGTCAGGAGCAATGACGTAGTATCCTATAAGTAGATTAGGACAGTCCCAAATATTCCAACGCGTAGTTAATCTGACCATGTTCAGAGAGCTTCTCAGCGATGTAAATCATACAGTGGGGCGAACAGGTAAGCCCATGTAGGAGCAAAGCGCGTTTCGGAGAGTAGGGGGATCCCCAGACGTTACGGGGAGCAAGAAGAGCGTTGTCGTCAGTGTTAGAAGCCATTACTGGTGTGGTGACTGATATAACGAGTAGAGAAGCAATGACTCGGGTGACCAGAGCATGTGTCACCCTTAAGTAGCCCAACCATGTAGCCACCGCCGCCGGAAGGTTTCTGTATATGCCTATCAGCTGGGCGAGTGTCGGTCCATATTACTATCCATACCATAATGTAATCCATCTTGAGCCTTGTGTTCGAGGGAGCTGATCCCCTAATCTGGTAGAAAAAAACTGTTGGAAACTCTAGAATGAACCATCTCATCGCTCTAGGCATAGAACTGGATGACCTTCACGTAAATGGATGTGCGGGTGGGGCCCATCGCTGAGAACACCATTCTTATCGTACCACTAACAAGGCAAGTGCTACACCTTCCAGCGCGGGCTTCGATAACTTCGAAATGTCTTGAAGCGAGTATGCAACCTAGAATGAGGATCGCATGCAATGGGCGACCAAATATTTATTGATGCAGTGCAGCGCTGATCTAACCTGCAGTATTCATTACCAGGGATGTTGTGCAGTAAGACTGCACAGTCATGGGTATAGTAGTGATCCAACGTGTACAGGTGGCGCAACGCCTATGTAGGCCGTCGCGCTCCGGCTGGCCGGAAACTGAGTACTGAAATCTGATCGCCGCTGCTCTCTCATTTGCGTGCCTACCAGAATACTACTGTAATTGGTATGTACACAGCTTATGTATACCTCAGAGTTCTCCCTCACTGAGACCACGATGGCGTTGGTGGAGTGCTTGCGTATGGTAAACCTTGCGGCAGAAAAGCTACGAGGTAGCGGAACACCATGCGTACGATTCCGGGATTGGTAGGTCCACGTTACGAGGTCCGTTTCACGGCATATATGCATGACGCCGCATGTCCATAGAAGATGACCTGATCAGGGGGGTGATCTAATCCCCAAAGACTTTGTTTGATCTACCTAAGCGCAATGGGGCGGTTTCCGCAGGCTTTCATAGGAGCGACCATCTCTTTTTGCTATCGTATAATTGCAGTCACAAAAGCTCTACCCAGTGTTTGAGTGATGGCTTCAGAACTTTCAAATCCTCAAGAACACAGGGTACACGTTGCAGCTTCCCGAAGCATAACACTGATACATGCAGCGGCGACTCGCTAGGGATCCGCGTCCAGAAATTTGACTCGGGTAATTGTTGAATATGAGTCTAGACACAGGTGCAGCTTAGGCCTAGGAACTCTCCCTGTGAGAAGGCCGTCGATCCTTCAAGTTCGCGATCTCCCGCCTATGTAGCCAGGAATGGGATCAGCATCGAGGAATTGGTGGGAGAAATCGTTCCGAGGTGTGGATGGCAGATAACCGAGCGCCACAGGCGCCCCGCGCAGTGCTATTTTTGTCGTTCTTTATCTTACTGCTTCAAGAGGCTTCAATGCGCCACCGGAGGAGAATAACGAGGCTAATTGAAAAGGCGGGCTACGTATCGCTGGTCCGGGACCGTGAATATCGTGGTTACAGTTTTGTTTCGTTCTTCCCTTTGAGGCTTGGTCAAGTATTCTTGAGAACGAACTCCTTAGGAGTGGTCGAAGGCAATGCGCTCTTGTGAGTAACGCGTCAATCACCCTATCTGACAGAGCTCTTCATGAACATTAGGATTGTGTAGTAGCAGACTCGCGCACAATCGGGGCACAAGTCCACAGAGAGACCTAAAGAAAGGGCATGGAATCAAGTAGAGTACTTTCGCCATATGGATGGGCCACCATCTTTGGTCATCTGCCCAGGAACCTGTTCCAGGCCCTTGAGAACATTTGAATCATCATCACCGACATAATTGAGACGTCGACTCAAGCGTCGACTTACAAAACACACACCTAAGAGTCAGCGCTTCAGCGTCACCCATCTGCTGGGATTCAAAATGGCACATTTCGATCGCCGCGTCACGCGGTGTGCACGTATGTCATTAATTCATTGTCACTGCCACATCGTGCTTCCCTGCTTCCACGCGTTCTTTTCTCACACCCTCATCCTTCAAAATTTCATCTACTGATCGCACTTCAAGTCGTCTTCACCCTCAACGTCAGAATTGTTACGCATCCCCACTTTGGCGCTGTCTCGATGCCTATAATGCGGCTACGTTGGGAGATCATCTACTCGAAAGCCCGACTGTGTCTCCGGTAGCGTCGGTATACAACTTGAACGAGACCTCAGACACCCGACTCGCCATTACAGTCTAGGGAAGACAAGTCTACGTCTGGCTCGCGTACAGTAGGTAATTTCAATGCATCAGGCAACGCCGACAATGAAGCATCCCGACGCTAGGTTCTCAACACGTGGGTCAGGAGTCCGCTTTGTTCTGCGAACCCAATCCTAATCTGCCGCGAAGGCCTCCGAGTGTGCTTATGAACAAGCTCAAGTGACTGGCCCCCGCAGTGGGCCAAGTCATATAATATCATCCAGAATAGTCGACTCGTATCTCTGCACAGGTACCTGACGTCTCCAAGCTTCTATACTTAACCTCCCGATTGGAGCTGAATATGAATTGCGGAGAACCGGTGCTTCTGCAAATTCCTGAGAAGCAAGTGCGCTTATCGGCTCACTGGTCTCTCCGTGTCAACGCGACTCTAGCCCATCCGAACCTGAGCTCATGCCATGTTGATCTCCAACAGTTCGGGTCTTTGTGCCATGGACTTCACATAAAAACGGCCGCATACCGGTTCTTGACCTCGTAGCTTCTCTCACACCGAACTTCCCCAGCATAATTTCTAACTACCCCTAAACGACTCATACTATATAACATGGCCTCTTCGTTTGACATTAGCGCAAAGACCGTTTGGGGCTCTCCCGCTGCCAAGAAACGCGCCCTGCTCATCCATGGCCTCACGTGCGCGCCTTCGACCATGGTTCGCCTCGCGGAAGTGCTGGTTGCCTTAGGTATGTGCGATATATCCACCTCGCTCGACCGCTCTTACTGAGTATTCCCGTATCTTCCAGGTTACCAAGTGACCGCCCCCGACTTGCTCGGGCACGGTATCGGCCCTCGCGCGGACAAGTACCTCTTTGAAGACATCTGCGCGATGATCCTCCCCCACCTCGAAGAAACCACTTACGACCTCATCATCGGCCACTCGCTCGGCGGCCTCGTCGCCCTCGCCCTCATGTCTCAGCTGCCACCCGCATACGCCGAGCGTGGAACGCTGCGCCTCGTCACCGTCGATGCTCCGCTCATCCTCACACCCAAGGATCACGACAAGTACACGGCGCTCTTCGGAGCCTCGACGAAGAAGACGCCGTCCATCGACTTCTACGCGGGCCTTTTCCCGTTGTGGCGAAGGGCAGACGCCGCCCAGAAGGTCCTCGCCGACGAACTGTGCGCTCCCACGGTGTCGGACGAACTCTTCGCGGTGCGTATTGATGTCATCCGCTCCTTTCCGTTGCCCCCTTCTCCATACTTAATGCCCGAAACCTTGTCTGACATGGGAGAATGCGCGCAGGTCAACCGACCTTGGAACTTCAGGCGGTTCCTTGACACGGTCCCGTCATGGGTTAGCTTTCTAGCCATCGCCGGAGACCCAGACTGTGGAGCCCTATTCAACGTCAAGGAGTTGGAGATGTACCCCAATATCGAGAAAAAGACCATTCCAAAGGCTACCCATTGGATCCCCCTGGAGTTTCCCAAGGAGGTCATCAATGCATCAGTCGCCTATTAATCACAGTAGTAATGTATAATGGACCTGGCTAATAACATTTATAATTGAGGTGCCTCGTGTGCACTCCTGTATCGTCCTCCCAGGTCAGCCAATAAGCTAAACGAAAAGAAGACAAGGCTTAGATGTTCGGCGAAGCCTTACTCTCGAAGATTGACATGGGATATGCCCCGCTACCCCGCGGACCAGCATGGACACATCAATGTTAATATTGGGACCATATCCGAGGAAACCCCACTGTCTCGGTATTCTGATGGACGTAACTTTAATATATACATTCAGAGTTACAGTATTATACATAGAAGTGAAACACATCTGTACTATACAGCAAGTCTCCGCAAACCTGTTCACCTCCACAATCCGCCGTGGCTCAAGGTTTGAAACATGGCGATGTCGAGACACAGCGGGGCGCTGACAGTCCAGGATTAGCGTTTAGGGGGACCAGCGTGGTGCCTGATCGGACCGTGGCGTACACTGAACCCAATGCATCAGCATCTCGATAGTAAACTTCTTTCTCGCGGTACACTCTGAACGTCGTTTTTTCGGCAGCTGCCTACGAGGCTGGCGCTTTGGATGGCACAAAGAAGTATTCTGACTAGACTTGCGTAGTCAACGCCCCGACCTTGCCTCGAAGCTTGAAGCTTGATAACTTGATCGATCATCACCCTATTCCTGATCCGAGTTGTGTTCAGCGTTAACGTTCAAACGCTCAAGCCTGTCGGATGTCCGTAAGTACCAATGCGTTTAAGTATTCTGCGCTTGTTATCTCCAGGACCCAAGTGTTCAGTGGGGCCCTATTTTCCGTGGCGGACTAAAGTGCTTATGACACTGAATAATCACAAGATTCATGCACTCCTAAACCGTACCCCAGAATGTCCAACCTTGTGGGTCATCCCGGCGTCCTACGTCGGATCCGAACAACCTTAGTTGGAGCGCAATGACACGGGGCCCGAAAAAGACTTCATCATTGTCTTTCCAAGGACAGCGCTTAAAATTCGGTCTAGCTATCTAGGTCGACGAACATATAAATTTGCAACTTAGTATCATCAAATCAGATTTGCGGATCCACAGACGCTTTTATCTGCCTCGAGCTCCTAATACTGCTTGCAGTCGACGAAAACCCGTCGCAGTTCCTCGTCGCATACTACTCTGCCGATGACTTCTGAAGGAGAAGCTCGTACCTGTGTCGCTCCACGGAGCGTATGGGGCTTACCCACTTCCTCAAAACGCGCTCTACTTATCCATGGCATGAGCTGCTCGTCACACGGCATGATCCACATTGCTGAGAAGCTCGCCGAACATGGTACGCGTCCAACCTTGCACTAAACAAGAGACCGACGCTCATCTATCTACAGGCTACTATGTCATTGCTCCAGATCTACCTGGTCATGGCATTGGCTCCCGTGCAGACACCTACACATGGGCGGACTACGACAAGGTCATGGTCGCGCTATACCACGAGGCGACGTACGATCTCGTCGTCGGCTTCTCTTGGGGAGCCGTCCTTGCTCTCCGAGTTCTCGACCAACTTCCAACCCCGTATCACGAGCGCAGTCAACGGACGCGCGTCGTTCTCTTGGATCCTCCTACATGCATCAGCGAGGAGACGCAGAACTTTTACTACGGCATGTTCAGTACTGTCGCCAGGAATCCGCCCAAGCCCGAGTTCTACTTGGAGAAGTTTCCGCGGTGGACAAAGAAGGACGCAGTCCTGCAGATCATGGCGAATGAGCTCTGCGACCCGCTACTTGTTGACCACCTCCTTCACGTGAGTATTTTTCGGCCCACCAGTGCTTCCAATGTGTTCGCTCAAGTTGTATCAAGCCTTCTCAGAAATGGGACCACGAAGAGCATCTCGCCAGCATACCGTCATGCGTCGAGCCGATCTTCCTTCTCGGTGACCCCGAAGCAGGCGGGCATTGTGGCTTGAAGGAGCTTGAGCCCTACCCGCAGTACGAGAGGAGGGTCGTTAAGGGCTCTTCTCACTGGCTTCCGTACGACGCCCCAGACGAGGTTGTTGAGACATGCATTGCACCGGGGAAGACGATCACCGCTCAGGTGAAGCGTCACAAGAGGAATTCAAGTTCATTAGGTAGCTTGGTTGGACGCCTTACGAGCTTCAGGTTTCGCTCGTAGAATACTTCTTAAGAGAACTTCTTGTATATATACTCACTTAGCGCTAACAAAAATGCTTGTAGTCTTAGAGCAGACTCTGGATATGGAACCATCTATCATGAGCAAAAATGTCTTCTTGACGAATAAAGAATCGTTTGTTTTTCCGAATTGTTTCTGATTTTGTATGGTTCGTTGACACCTGTAAGTGAAGATTGGCTTGAGATTGGCTATTTCACATAGTAAGCTAGGCGTCAACAAGCTTCATCTGGCTGGTGTAACTCGTGAGGATTGATGGAGCACAACGACGTGATCCAGGAAAATCTACAATGCCATATCTTCTGTACCGATATGTTACTCTCGTAAAGCTCTCAGGCACCAGAGATGCGGCGTCGCGAGGGAAACATGGACGTCGCAAGTCAGCTTGCGACTAGTCGCGTGAGAAAGCGTTGCTTGACCTTTCTACTCCCTAACCGCATCTCGCGTTAATAGAAAACGAAGGAACCTCGATTGCGAGGTTGAACGTGGGGGGATTCTAGGATCAGACAGATATTCCCGTTTGCACACGTTGGAGACCATAAGATGGCATGTCATAAATAGGTTCTAATCGCTGTCAGTATGCTACCCGATTCACTCAACGTTTGGTCTTCGGAGGAGACGTGCTGGTGCTAGCCTGTTGGTCAAAGGTGAAACTGACATAGACGGCATCCGGAAACTCGAATCTCCGACACGGACTGGCCTATGATTGGCTAGATCATCACGGCAAAGTCCGAAAGGTGCGCTTTCGGGCTACCTTCGTCAAGACGACCTGTATCAAGACCACGATTGGCGTCCACTGAGCGCTACTGATACCATATGGCTCAAGCTGCCTCGAGCATACTCGCCTCGCCTTTTGCTTACCTCTCACAAATCATTTAACCATCAGCTTATGGGCAAAACCCTGGACATAGCCTTTTAAGAATGAACCGACCCTCGATGGTTCACGGCACGAGGCCACGGCTGCTTCACGTTGCAGCACATAATGAAGGAAAGGATGTCCGGTTTGTAATGCGCAAGTTCTTCCGACTGTCTTCTGGAAGGTCTGACATTGAGACCGCTCCATAATAGTGATTGCCGCCATTGGTATTGAAATTTTGAAATCTTCCCTTCTATTCTAGATACGAGCTTCCACCAATGCATTTTGTCCTCTAGCTAAGCTGGAACCTGCGTTGGTCTCAAGCAGCTTTGACGCTGCTCGCATGACAAGGGTGGTGGTCTCAATTGATTTGACACATCTCGGTGTTGGCTTGTCAAACGAACAGTGCCTCCGACAGGCGACCCTGCATTGTGCTCTCGGCCCGACTGGCGACACTGTCGCTTCTCTACAGGTTTGCTCTGGGTCCCTGGCGATTGGCGCGGTCCGTACTGTTGTCTCATTGGTGCTCGCGTGTGCGCGCTTGGTCCGCCATAGAATTGAACAAAAAGGGCTCCTCCCTGCTCTTCCTCACGCGCCCTGACGACAAATGTGCCTTTCTTTCTCTTTCTCTTCCCACCAACCCTGGTCTGCGGTCTACTCTATATAACCACCCTCTCGTTCCTTTTCTTCTCATCTTCCTAGTCACCATCTCCTTTGCTACAGCATGCCTGGAAGAGTCCACACGTTCAACACTTCTCAAGCTCGCCATTCGCTTGGACCGAGGAGCATATGGGGCCCTCCCTGCGCTTCAAAGAAGGCTCTGATCTTGCACGGTCTTGCGGGCTCTTCGCAGACGATGGCTCGAGTGGCCGAGCAGTTAGCTTTGGAAGGCAAGCAACCACCCCGTCTCTGCATACTTTTCATAACTTACAACTTCATCGCCATGTAGGCTACTTTGTCTCCGTCCCAGAACTTCCTGGGCACGGTATTTCTCCGCGTTTCGACTCCTACTGCTTCGCAGACATGATCCAAATCGTTTCCGACCACCTCATCGAAACCACATACGATCTCGTAATTGGCTTCTCCCTTGGTGCAATCCTCGCCCTCGCCGCCATCCGTAACATCCCCCTTTCCTACAAATCCCTCAAGGTCGTCGCAATCGAGCCGCCAATCAAGCTCGCGTCGGAGATACACCAGTACTTCGGCGGCATGCTGAGTGCAGCCGCTAAGAACCCGCCCACGCCGGAGTTTTACATGCGCATGTTCCCGCGCTGGTCAAGGGAGGACGCTACCCTGAAGGTCCTTGCGGACGAGCTGTGCGATCCGCTGGTTGTGGACAGCCTCTTGAATGTGAATTGTCCCTGCCTAGTGATGAAGTTTTTTTCTAACCTGTCGTTTACCATTTAGGAGGGTGCACCCTGGAACTTTACACGGTACCTGATAGACATCCCGTCTCACGTGCGCGTGCTTGTCATCGGTGGGGACTTGTCGTGCGGCGGGACACTACGCATCGAAGACCTGGAGACGTATCCAGACATAGACGAGATCCATACGGTCGAGGGTGCATCACACTACGTGCCCATCGAGTTCCCAGAGAAGGTGGTCGACTTATCCTTGGAGTTTTGCGCTTCGCGTTCAGCCCTTACATGTGCAGCCGTTGCAAGCGAACGGGTTCATCCTGCCCTGGTGTAGTAGGCTAGGGTACTTTACTTTCATTCGTTTCTCATTGTGTTTACTACGCTCATTACATATGTCGCCCATAGCTATTTCATTACTAACACAGCATGTAGCCATACTTAATAGAACTCTGATCGATACTTCATTCTACTAATATCAATACACATGTGCTCATTCACTAAGATCTAATGAGCTTGTTCGAATTGGCCTTTCCATCGTTCGAAGCCTCTCAATGGGATTTCGCCAACAAGCCGTTTCGTGATATCGGAGACCTTATCAAGACCCTGATAATGCGTCTGAGTTAAAGATAACGATGAAGCAGAGTAGAAACGCACTCTGAGTAGCTGGTATACAGCGACGACCCCAGATGCCCAGTGCATGAACTCGGCGTCTTCGAGGACTTCTGCAGCACTCTCATAGTATGCCTTATGGCCCTCGTTATCTTGGCTGTTTCGTGGGTTGTGACGGGGAACAGATGCGAGGCGATGATGGTAGAAGAGACGTTCAAGGAGAGACTGCGGCAACACGGCGTGCAGAGGTTCTCCCGTGCGAAGCGCCATAGAGACCATGGCAAACTTCGACATCACGTCGCTGATCTATTCATTTTCGTTTGTTAGCTCAGCACAGCCGATAAACACCATGAAACCGTGAGGCTGGACACTCACGAAGCTAGGATGGACCACCTGCGTCCGATGTAAGAATTTGACGCGCCAGTCATCGTCGAGGTGAAGCATCGCGCTGCCGAGCTGTCAAAGGGTATGCATAGTCAGGACCGTCCGATTGACAAAGAAAGAACACGAGAACACCGCTTGCGGGAAACGCCTTCTCAAGCAGTGAAAGGATAAATAAGGGCATACGCACCTGCGTGAGTGCATTCAACATCTCGCTCTCGGCATCGAGCAGCGCATTGTAGTCCTCGGCAGGCCAATGGCCTCGAATGCCACCTTCCCACCGCGCGGTGTCTGTGAGAAGACGAGCCGCCTGGATGCGTTCCGCGAGAGCCTTGACGCGCGAGCGCATATGGTTCACCCACGGCTCAGTTACGACCTCGTCTGGCAGACCATAAGATACACTCTTGCCCGGGGTTTCACCATCGCCCACAACGGTGCCCCGAGTCTTGGTTCGTATCGGCGCGGCGGAGATCCAGGTGGACATGAGGATGCTGTAAAGCCCCTGAATGTTCTTGATGATCTTGGCGTTACGTAGGCGGACGACTTTGCGCCCTGAGACAGGCGGGAGCATCATCAAGACGAAGGACGCAGCGCAACCTGGATAATGATGAGGGTCGTGCTTTGTTGGATTCAGTTTAAAAGATGAGGATTTACCGATAACAACAAGCGTCCAGCGACGCCATGCGATGGACCATCCAATGCCTGGATTGCCATACATTGGTAGGTGCCCGTCGATCCACGAATAACCAATGATGAGGGAGAATGTAGCCTAATGACGCATACGTTTTGAACGTCAGCGCCTCGCTTAGTAGTGTTGAACGCAAAATGGGACTCACACAGCCCGTCAACACTCCGGAAAGGTACTTGGGAGGAGCAAACATACGGAGCCACATCAGAGGCGCGAGGAAGACAGCACAGCTGGCAGCAATTCCGTATGGGTTACCGATGCCGCGGCCAGCACCTTCGACTGATGTTAGAATATGAAGTAGCGAAGAGGACAATGGAAATCTACCAATATACCAAGCAACGAGGCCGACTATGAGCCCAACAAATGTGCCAAGGAGACGGGTGGCATAACTAGGGTATGTTTGGAATCAATCGGCGATGTCGAGGAACGAAGAAGGCAGCGGTGCTTACTTGAAAAGCTGATCCGAAACATAGATGTTTAATGTCAACTGAGACATGATGAGAGCCCTGTACGAGGATGTCAGCTTGACGCTACCAACGAAGCTTACATAATATACCAAACACCACGCTGTTCGTAGTAAAATGCTGCATACTACATAAACGAGAGTATCACCATGAAGTTTAAACGCGACGTACCTGCACTGCTTGACATGACAGCAGGAAGCCACAGCAAAATCGTGATTGCAGTTGATTTGAGAATGAACTAGAACTGGCTCAGCTCGTGAAGATGAACAAAGAGAGATGTGCACATACGACTGCCTGGGGAGTCTTGAGCCACATGTAGACAACATGGAAGAGATAGACGAAGCGCTGGAACAGGTTCTGCGGCGGACCGCTATCGGGATCCTTACCTGAACTCGCGCCGTCAGTAAAACTTACCCCAAGCGGGACCATATCAGTTCACGCACCGTACGACTTCTCATTCCAATCATCTACGGCGTCGTCACCCGTCTCCCCGCGTTCGCCAGACCAGTCCTCGCCCAGCGTCTCGTCGCCCTCGTGTGCCTGGCTACCATTCCCAGCACCGAAGAACTCCTTGACACCACTCAGAATGGGTAACCACACGCGCGCCCTCGTGCGACGGGTACACAGCGCCTCGACAGTGCGCATAAACCGGAGCGCGGTCTCGGAGACCGCGATGAGATTTGCAGAGAATGTGAAGCAGATGAACAGCGCCCTGAGCGTGGGCGAGGGCGGGGGCGGAAGCTTGGGTAGCACGGGTCGGAAGGGCTCGAGCGCCTCGAGCCGCTTGCGCGCGATAAACTCTTGCAAAGCAGTGTCAAGGTTTGCAACAGCAGCGCTGAGAGCTGCGGTGTCGACTTGGCTGTTTTTCTTGGGACCTCCGAGGAGAGGGATGAATTTACTCAGGCGGTCATTGTTCACTGCCGTGAGGGTCGCCACGGTCGTGCTGAGTCCGCCTTCGAGCGCATCGCGCAGGTCCTTTGTTGCGTCTCGAACATACGGAATCGCTTCGTCGATGGTCACCTCAATTTTGTAAGACGTGGTGGGCCGGCCCGAGCCGTGGATGTGCCCAAGAACATCGGCGGCGTGCGGCATGATAGAACTGATATCCGAAGAGCTGTGGCTGTGCTGTCCTTCAAAGGCGGAGGCGATGCTTGCGTCTTCGTTGGTCGTTTCATGGGGCTTTTCGGAGGGAGCAGATGGAGCATCGTTGATCTCGGATACGAGACGAGCAAAGTTTTGGAGGCCGACTACGGTTCAAGGAAAGGAACTATTAAAAGGCTGTCATTGTATACTGTATGAAGGGCGACTTACGCATACGAACAAGAAGCCCAACAAGGGGTTCTTCCAAGGAGTAGACATCTTTGCCACTCCACCGACCGAAGCTCAGCTCAGTGGTGATATATTTCGACCGCATGCCATCTTCAAGACGTCAACATAGTTAGTGAAAATCAGGTTGCTACATCAACGTGCTCACAGATCTGCTGTCCCATGATCAGGCCAGCCCGCATCCCATTGATCTTCTTCACAAGCTCCTTCAGCTTCTCCGACACCGGAACCGCGCTGACGTCACCCTCCTCTTGGCTCTTTCCATCCGCAGCCGCGGTCGAGGTATCCTCTCCGAGAACGGACTGCTGCATCTGGGTCATATCGCGCATTTTCACGACCTGCGCGGTGATAAGCCCTAGACTGGAACTGTTGATGCTCGTGGGGTAGATGACCAGCGAGAGGATGACGGCGATGCCCGCGTAGCAACCGATGGACGTCAGGAGCGAGTTGACGAGCGTGTACTCGGCGATGGGGAAGAGAGGTCCATAGGACTGGTTGGTGATGCTTTAGCACAATCGACACGGAGAGTATATGCGCTGGACTTACGCAGAAAATGTCGATGCAGATGATGGAGAAGATGCTCATGAGCGTCAGGGGTGGGATATATGCGCGCATAGCGGCAAAACAGAAGTTGCCCAGAGCGAGAAAGAAGCCGTACATGATAGAGGAACTTGGGAGACGGGCGTGAATTGGGATGAACGGACAAGTTGGCTAGTATGGGTGCGTACCGAGTATCAAGAAAGTCGGCCTTGAAGATTGCGAGTTGGAACAGGGCTTCTGGGTTGGCGAGGCCTGCGGCGCTATCGTATATGCCATTGGGACGGGGTTGTGATGGCGAATCAGACATAAAGACTCACTTTTGCGCCACCTTTTCGAGATTTTGGCTGAGGAGAACTTGATCGCGAACCGCCAATGCGGATCGCATGGCAACGACACCAAAGACCCATCCGAGACATAGACCGATAACGAGGGTAGAAGTGAGCTGGAGGGAGTCATTCACAAGCTGGGTTCAAGAGGTGACATCGAAACTCACGAATAGGAAGGTATGAATGGGAAGGTTGGCAGGGAGGAAGAAGCTCGTCATCATAGTGAAGAACGCGCTATACGCCATGGTCAGTCCACAACAGCGACCTTGCATACAACAAGTGTCTGGACGTACGCGTTTCCAAGGACAGCGAGCGACTTGTCAGGCAGGAGTAGGACGAGTGCGATCCAAGACGCGAGCCATGCGCGGAAGAATGCTTTCCAGGACTGCGGGTTGGATATGTGCATGGCTGCCCATGGCGGGAGCTTGGCCCTCAGCTTTGCCATCACGGACGACATTGGACGTCGTTTGACGGCGGTCGAGGTCAAGATTGTGTTTCAGGACGGAGAAGGGGTGTTGAGAAGGGAGAATGGAGGGCGGCGGAGTGGTGTTCATTTGGCTGGTGATTGATATTGTGTTGGTTCTAGCGCCGCGGGTGGACGGCGGAGGCTTGGTGCCCGACTCGAGCCGGATCCGACCTGATCACGTCAACGCGTCTGAGTGTATCCTCGGCTCAGCTGGTCTCCTCGAGTGGTCGTTGTGTGTAACTGACGTCAGACGCAAGGTGGGGTTGCGTTGGAGAGACTCCGATGGTGTCAGTCGCGGGTCTCGACCTCCGGAAGGAGATTCAATGCGCTCAGGGGTTATGTTACGATTGTTGGACAAACCTCCGCGCCTTCCGTTCAAGTTTGTGCCTGAAGATCTCCTTTACTCCCCGGTCTACAGTCCCTTGTCCAGACTGCTGACCACCAGCGAGTCTTCGGGTTGCGTAGTCACCCAGCTCAAGTGTGTGGAGGCGCCGGCCAAGTGTTGTGGACGTCATATTAGTCCTGGCTTCAAGAGTCAGCGAGAATGTGTAAATTGGAGAATGCGGTCCTTGACGCAGTCCGTCTTTGGGTCCACATCGTCGGGGATTTGAGCTCCGAGGTAAGCACATGAACTCAGCCAGCGTGCGGTCTCCTTACATAGCTGTTTACATCACTGGTCCGTCCGCTCGGCACGGATATGGTAGAGGTCCAGTGCCCTTGATGCACGTCTGGCCACTGCAGCCAAGCAGACCAGTTTGACTAAGACGAGCTTATCTCACGAGCTCATACGCCTGAATGAACTCGTTTTGGCGTCCTCGACAAGCCAGCATGCTGCCGCGTTGCACCGTCGAAGACGACGCAGGAGACTGAATGAAGCAATCCCCTTTTATACAAACAACTCTGGAAACCATTGACTCTGCTGGTCCTCGTGGTGGCTGAAACGCATCGCCATTTGTCAGTGCAACAGTATCCGGCCTTTCCTGCCCTCAAAGTACAGCGGAGAACTTGCACAAGGCGTAACAGCGCGGGTGTTGTTCCTGGGATAAAACCCGTAACATTATTCTATTGCACGCGTCAGAGGACAAGAGTATACAGCCGATGAACGATGACGATTGGAAACAATGAGTCTAGCGAGGCCTGATAAAGCGAGAACTTGCTGAAGGCGAGAGCACGAGCAGCAAGTACATAGAATCCTATCAAGAACTATTTTCTGATATAGGGTCTGCATAGGGGAGACTAGTAGAATGCCAGCACAGAAGTATCGTCCGAAAGAGAGCCGAGGTGCCGCTGTATGATACAAGAACCTACACCATGACTTTAGATAAGCGAACATGCATAATTCAACGGCATGAGAGAATCGCACTTGAGCTATCAGCGCATCAGCGACTGACAGTGTCCGTGAGAGCAGAAGAAGCACAGCGAAGTGCACGAGTTAAAACCCTGAGTTGACAGCAAGAGGACGATGTAGCAGAGTTACCGGCGGCAAGATATGTGGGGTAACACGTCGCGTTAGCAGACACTGTACCCATTGGATAGGTATCTTCATCTGTTCGCGTGTATTGCGCATCAGAAGAACACACGTCTCCAAAAAGGTGCCAGCGCTAAGGGAGGTCTGCTCGCAGTTGTACCCGCGGATTACGGGTAATTTTAGTTCCTTGAACTCAAAAGTGGTGAGTAGAACGGGGAGAAAGCCACAGGGCGTAGTGGTGTGAGGCGAGGAAGCATACTAGAAATGAGGCCGGTACCCCAGTCGCTCGGCGCAAGTGGTCGGCGAGAGCGTCCGTCTGCAGCGGATCTTCCATGGGATACATGCCCCTGGTGTACAACGCCTTGAATCAGTGGGCGATGAGTTTGAGGAGCTCTTAGCCTACTTACATCGATTCGATTGACTTGGGACATGACTAGGGCGCAATCAGTGTCGATTTCGTATAAGATTTTTCTATCGTACTGTCTCATCGATGCCTCGTGGATGTCGCAAGAGACGTGAGCGTTGGGCGTGGTCCAAATCATCATGCCCAAATTGGACATGTGCCGCGACAGTAATGATGGGGCGCAAAGCACAGAAGTCTGAGGAGCACTGCTAGCAGGAGGAGTGCCGGGCCGTGAGGAATCGAGAAAGGGTGCTGTGAGGGATAGAAAGAAGTGAAACAGCAGACTGATACGTGCTAGAGGGGCGATGGAGAGGAGGGAGGAGGCTTAATGAGGAGCACTGCCAAAGTGAGGTGTACCTGATTCGGTGACAGACCAGGTCGCTAGTAAATAAGCGCCTAGCTACAGAAAAACAAAATGGATTGACGACCCCTGCACCGACTTTCGCCTTACTACTCCTCCCTCAACGATCTGAAAAGTATCAAGGATCACAAGCGGAAAGGACGCAGAGATCTTGTTTGATATTTTCACGGCCGCATTGACACCTTGATGGAAGCTCCGCCACCTGTGTTTGACTCGCCACCGCTGCGTTCGACCATTTTGGGTTCGTTTCTTCGTGGACGACCTCGCAATTCCTCCACATCCCACTCCCCCTCCCCTCCCGCTCAACACCTCCAACGACCGCTAGCTTCCCAGCCAGGCCAACCTCCTTCCCCATCCGCAGATTCGTCCGGACCCACTCCACCGCCGCCGAGAAACAGCCGCCGAAGGTCTCTCATCTCCACCATTCCGTCCCAAAGCCCGCAACCAGCCCAGGGCCAGTCAGGGCCTTCCCTGGGCATCACAAACATCCTCAGGCGTCGTCGCTCAGCCGGAAACGTCAACACAAACCACACCACCCAGCCCGTCGTCGCGCCCCCTCCTCAAGGCCACCCCTCCACCAGCGCACCAGCACCACAGCCACCCATGCTGCACCTGCCCCCCTCAGCATCCGCGCCCCATGCCCACCCAGCCCGCACCGCATCTAGGACACCTCCCTCGGGCAGCCATCGCATCCGCCTCGTGCCCCACCTCGACTCCCGCCGCACCCTCCGCTTCGATCCCATCGCCCGCGATCTCAAGGACGGTGACCCCCCTCTGCGCATCGGCCGCTTCACAGATCGCTCTGGCATCGGCCTCGCTGCAGCCAACGCTCTCTCATCCAACAAGCTCGCCTTCAAGAGCAAGGTCGTCTCGCGTGCTCACGCAGAGATATGGGCTTCCGACGGCGGCAAGTTTTTCATCAAGGATACCAAATCTTCTTCCGGCACTTTCCTCAACCACCTCCGTCTCTCCCCTGCTGGCACCGAATCACGCCCGCACCAGCTCAAAGACGGCGATATTCTACAACTTGGAGTTGACTATCAAGGCGGAACGGAGGATATCTACAAATCGGTCAAGATAAGGATTGAGCTTGGCAGGGAGTGGCAGCGCGGCGCTAACGCCTTCAAGTCCGTTCTTATTTTCTCGTTTTTCGAACTTCTTTTCTGACTACGACTAGCACAAATGCCCTCACTCAGCTACGGTCTCTTGCGGTTGCCACCAACGCTGACCTGCCAGCGGCTTCCAAACGCCGCGCCCCAAAGACGAATATACCGGATTGTTGCATCTGTCCGTCTATCTCCCTTATCCTTTTCCCCCTCTCTCAGATATCACATTCTCTCTAGGTCTCTTCGCAGTCACCATCCGTCAAGCCCTCTTCATTGCCCCCTGTTCGCACGCCTTCCATTACAAATGCATCCGCCCCCTCCTCGAGCAGCACGACGCCGCCTTCTCCTGCCCCCTCTGCCGCACTTTTGCCGACCTCGAAGAGGACGTGGAAGTGGAAATAGATGCCGACGATGATGAAGATGAAGACGAAGACCTCGTGAACCCGCCCTCGTCGGCCCCACCCACCACATCGTCGATGCCCGGCAGGCCGTCGAGCAAGCACCTCCACGTGCCGGCAGCTATCAAGGACGGCGCCGAGACGGAGGTCGAGCCAGACCAACCGCGCGTCTCACGCAGGCCCCAGATATCCCTGCATACAGGCGCGGCGGGCGAGCTGGATGAAGAAATGCTTGAAGATGACGACGACATCCTCAGCCCAACTTCTGCAGTCGCCCTTCCGGGACCGGGCTTCGGGCTCGCGCCTCAGGTTGCCGGAGGGGATTCGTCCGAGGGAGAAGGGAGTGGTCTGGGAGAGGGCCTGATGGAGGGTGTCGAGGGCGAAACGACCGTAAGCGGGAAGCGCAAGAGATGAATCGGCTCATCACACTTGTTTCGACAGCGACAGTAACGCTTGTTTATCCCCCGTCTTACCCTCGTGGGGCGGGTGTCGTTGATGCAGTAGTCCCGTTTACATCTCCCGCCAACGCTTTCGATGGCGGCGACATCTCGCATTCCACTGTCTGGTCCCCGCCCTTCCCTGTTCATGACTCTACGATATCCCCGTTTTACTATCTCCACCGACACGCATCTCTTCTCGCTTTTCCCTTTCTTTGTCAGCTAAACACTACGTTTTATGTTTCATGGTTATGGTTGTACGTTTCCGGTTGTATTGTGCCTGTGTTAATCTTCGAGCGCATTCGAGCACCTTCATCCCCCACCTTCAGACTTCTCTCTTCATCGGGCACACGCAGCAGCACAACTGGATGGAGACCACGTTTGGCTGTAGGCTGTAATGCAGCGCGCGCATCTTGCACACTGTTTCCTTCTACCCCCTTCCTTTCAAAAGTACGGCACGCACACTTTTTCCTCGATCAGACGTCTGCATGACTGCTGGCGGGCTTTTACTTCTTGCCCGACTGGTGGGGCGGTGTTTGCTTTTGTGTCGCTCGGAGATTTGTGATATATCTTAGGCTGTCAAGTAGATGTAATAACTTAATGACGAAAGTGAAGACCAAGGGCTGCGGGGTAACATGATACGAGTAAGTTTAGCATGAACGTAGAATCATCCAAGGTGCGTGCGTCCTCTTCACTTCATCCCGATCTACTCGCGACAGTGGCATCTTGAACTCAACGCTAAGCATGAACCTTACCGGAACTACCTTATACCCTCGCCAACGCTGCTACCATATCATAGAATGACACGAGACCTGGGGCGAATCTATCTTATGCAACTCGTTGCGGAGCATGTCCAAGTGTGGTATGCGACTCTGATGCATTTACTCAGATGTTCTCATCGCTTGGCTCATTCGGATGGGAAGAGCTCGGATTGATAGATTATCAACCAATCCCCTCGGGATCCGTCTCTTGTTTACACAACACACTTTAAGGGTGCAGCAAATGTACGCGCATCACTCATCATCACGGATCTGGAGCTGGCACCATGCATCATGTCACGTCAGTATTACATCTGGGATACATAAGAGGTGCGCTTCAGCTTCTCGTCCCTGTTCTCTACAAGCTGATCCTCACATCTAACACCAGAACAACATGCCCGAGCAACTGACACACTATGGTAGCAAGGTGAGCATCCCTCATTTCAGGTGTCGGTTGCGCCTCTTACATCCCATGCTCTCTAGTTTAGCGGCTATGCTCATAAGGTTGGTCTCCGACTATTATGGGTGCACGTTAAGCTAACTCGACGCCAGACGGGCATAGCACTGGAAGAAGCGAAAGCGCAATACACGCACGTCGAGATCGATTTCACGAATAAGCCTGATTGGTTTGTCAGCATCAACCCCGCAGGCAAGGTACGCACTCGTCTTTTCGGCCCCTTCGTACACTCTCTGATCGAACCAACAACCCCAGATTCCTGCGATCGTATACGGTGGTGCTGCAGCACCTGCCGACAAGCCCTCTCCCGAGTCTACGAAGCTCGCCGAGTCCGCCGTTCTCCTCGAGTTCATCGCGGACCTCTACCCCGACTCTGGCCTCATGCCCTCTGACCCCGTTCAGCGCGCCAAAGTCCGCTTCTTCAACAACACGGTCGACACGGTCCTCACCCCCGCGCTGTTTGGGTGGATGGTCGGCGGTGCACCCGCCAGCACGATCGTCGACGCGTTCAAGAAGATACAGGAGCTGCTCCCCGAGAACGGACAGTTCGCGGTCGGCGACCGGTTCACGATCGCGGATGCGAGTGTCGCACCGCTGTATGTGCGTATTGTGCTCTTGGCTGAGAAAGGTCTTCCGGGGAAGGAGCAGGCGGCTGGGGTTCTGGAGGCGCTCAGCTCGCCTGAGCTCGCCAAGTTCAAGGCATATGGAGACAGACTGGCCGAGCGTCCGAGCGTTATTTCGGCGTGGGACAAGGTGAGCGGGTTCGCTCTTAGCAACCGCGCGCAGAGCACTGAGGTACCCCCAAGGAAAAATCGCTCGCCTACCTTACGATGGCGATACAAGGAGCCAAGGCAGCCAAGTGATTCGGTGTACATGTTCATGTCGTTGTATGATAGTCAGGAAAACTGTTTCATACATCGCGGACCTTCGGGGTTTTGTATCAAAAGCATGCAGAAATATGAATACGAAAGGCGCTTGGAGAAACAAGGTGATAACATATCTCCGTCCGTGATTCGACTGGAAAGACAATGAGCTTACGAATGGGTGGACTAGCAGGCCGATGTAATTGAAAGCCCCTGTACGGTATGGGAGGGAGGTCGAGGAGAAAAATGATTCAAAAGATCAAAGAATGTGGGAAAGTGTAAAGCATTACAATATTGCCGGTAAGATAGGGGTCGTGGGAATCCCGCACCCTTAGGTAAGCGAGCTCGGACTCTATAGTGACGACAAAATCGTGGATTGGGATGGACCGGGCTCGGAAAAACTCCGGGCTCTGCAGCAGGTCCCTCGTAATGTTGAAGTTTCAACTTTTGTGATCCTTACAGCACAATGTAAAGTGGCCAGGAACTTATCTGCTTCTATTATATGTAGCCGAGAGATGCTTTGACCTCATTGATCATGAATTGAGGGAGTATACGATGGCCTGAATACTTCCGATTAACCCATGCAAGTTCTGCCCCAGTGAGCCCTCCCGCATATGCCGAGATAAAGCGTGCTGCACGGTTAGCATATCTGCGTATGCAGAAGGTCAAACAAATAATCTAATCAGTGGATTCGACAGCTTACCGAAGGATGGCAAGCTGTGGAACAGAATCTAGGCATGCCTTTACATTCTTCTCCATGGCACTAGAACTGCAGGTCTTGGCAGTGTTCCGATATTGGAACTTTGCCGCACCCCAGTACATCTCAATAAAATTCAACTCACAATGGTATTTTGGATAGAAGTCGCAAATGTGCCCACGCGATTCAATGAGTTCTTGCAGGGCTGATTTCTGGTTGATAAAATCAGCCTGGTTAAACAGGATCCGGCGACAGCAGCAATCAGTTCGGCTGGGCTCGCACTTGAAACCTGCACACTGGGCCTTAAGACCATCCTGCCAGAGCTCGCGTTCCCTCAAGATCTGCTCCATGCCCTTGAACCATCCCGGCATGGTGGGGTGGTCATCAGGGTGGTACAATTGCTGTGGAGAACCATCCGGCAGTTGCCCTGGACGCATTTGAGGTGCACCTGGGGCACTTGTCCAATCCGGATGTGGGTTCTTCGGCATTCGCCGGGCAGACAGTGCGTCGGGTGCTCGTTTTTGATGACTGGGGGCATTGTCAAACATGAAGAGGCCAGTGGCAAAACCGTTGGTTTTCTCCTCAAAAACGTCAATGGCTCGGTCAACTTGGGCGAGTAGCTCAAAAGACGTAAAATAGCCATCTCGATTTTTACCCGCCCAAAAGAATAGACGCGCATCGCTAGTACAACCCGTGAGCATGAGAAGAAGTGTAAACAAATGAATTGACCTGTCTTCAGTCCTGAGACGACCCCATTCAGGCACGAGAAAATCCGACACCATCATTGACTCGCCCTCGCCTTTGGGCTGAGGTGTGGCTTTCAACGACGTGTGAAGCCAGGCAGTTTGCCGCCGATCATTTGCATAAAATGTCGATTCGTCGTGAGTGACGAGAAGAACACGGAACCGCTGGCCCGCATATTTCCCCTGGAGAACAAAGCCCTCCGGTGTCTTCACCACATTCCCATCATTGTCGTATGTGACCATCCTTGGCTCGTACTCCTCCATCCACCTCTTCACAAATGCCTTGCGATATTCAACAACATCCTCCCTTTCGTGGCCATCAATATACATCCCATTCTTCCGCCGTCCGAAACGCCAGTCAAGTTGCTTCAACCACCGGCGTGCTGTTCGCACCGAGATTGTACGGCGCGGGAAACCTGCCTTATTCATCTTCTCCTGCATCTCATCCGTCTCAACAAAATCCACAACATCCTGCGCACGAAAGTGTTGCTGCTTTCCGGCAAGCGACTGCAAATGAAGCTTGATGGCAAGTGCAAAATCCTCGTCATCAAGAAGGGAGGTGTTTGGTTGGCCGATGCGATGAACAGGGAGTTGTTGGGTGGTCAGAAAGGTGTGTAGCCAGTCTCTGATGCGTCGAGCATGTGCTGCACCATGCCCTTGTGATCTTGAGATGACCATGGATGCCTCTCGCCAAGTATAAGCTTGTGTTGAGTCGAGATACAGGTTGAGGGCCCCAACCATTTCGAGAAGACGTCCACGAAATACGATATCATGCTTCTTGTCCTTGCTGAGAAGACTCAGGTGAGCCGCAGCCCGACTCAGCGCAGGAAAGTCCCTGTAATTGAGCTGATTCAATGCACGATCAACAGACGTCTCAGGGCTTGTGTCGGACGGGAGACATTCGCGTGAGATTGCCTCGAGCATTGCTTGGAGATGGGCATGATGCTCGTTAACTGGCACCATGCACTGTTCAACCTGGCATGATACTGGTGAGTGCCCAGCTTTCCTCATGTTTCAAACAGATACTGACCTCGACACGATTGACCAGCTCGCCCTGTCCACCCTCAACGCACTTGACGCGTTCAGCGTGTTCGATATGATCAATACCATCGCATTTGACGCGCTCAAGGCGCTCAAGGCGTTCGAGGCGTTCGAGGCGTTCGACGTGATTGATACCGTTGCATTCAACGCGTCCAACGCGCTCGAAGCGTTTGAGGCGTTCGACGCAATCAATACCGTCACATTCAGCGCGTTCGGTGCGTTCGATGCGATCAACACTGTCGCTTTTGGCGTGCTCGATGTGCTCGGCGCATTCGATGTGTTTGAGGCGTTCAATGCATTCGATGCAATCGACACCGTCGCGTTTGGCGCACTCAATGCGATTGACATGCTCAACATGGTTGTGTTTAACAGGTTCGATGTGTCCGCCTTCAGCCGTCTGTGGGGGTTAGGGTTAGGGTTAGGGTGGTAGCTTGCCACGACGAGCGAAGCGAGGAGGGGTAAGCGTAAGGAAGAGAAGTTGAAACTTGGTCAACAGGCTGAGGTATTTCCTCAGCAACCTGTTTCGTATATATACTCTTCAGGACCAATTAAGTTTCGAGGTGGAGTACCATCGGATGTCTGTAGAGAGGCGGGAGACGCCTCTACGGGTGCATCCAAATGACATCATTGTATAGGAATAGATGTTAGTAAGCGTTTCAGCTATACTTAGCATGCTTGATGACTGATGTGAATGCCGAAGCCGATGCGATCGCATCGGGATTACCTTAAATGATATAATTGTCCCACAGTGGGAAAATAACCTAAAAATAGGTGTTTCATGTAAAAATACCTGAAACTTCTCACGCCCTATGAATAGTCAGTTCCACGTGACTAATAAGCGCTCGGGATTAGCCGGGCGTCTATCTCCTACGTTCTAGAATGTTCCCCGTTTAAGGT